GAAGGGGGAGGAAGGATGACAGGGTGGAACATTCTGTGACTGTGAGCTCCATATTTGGGGATGTAGGTGTGTGTGTTGGTGGGGTGAACTTGGATTTCCTGTCTGTCGATGTGGGTTAAAATGAGAGCTCAGAGCTCTAATAGCACTCAAAACTCTGGATCTTGAAAGACCTGTGGGACACAGACCACTGGACAAAATTTTGCTGCCTCTTTCTCTTGGGAAGTCTGTAAACATGAAGCTGTTTCTGGTTCTCATTATTCTGCTGTTTGAGGTACCCACAGGTAACTTGTCCAAACGTACCATAACATCCTAAGAAAAATGACTGTTTATAAGAGTGGGAACAGGACTTTCAATATTATTTCTATTTGGCCAAAATCATTTAAAAAAAAAAATACCCGTTCTCCTGGTTGCCTTGCTTGAGACTGTGCCTTAGAAGAGAGCACCCAGGGAGGTTGGAGGAGGTCGAGGCTATACTGTACTCTCGGGAGTCCTCTTCAAAGGTATCCATGAACTCAGCATCTAGAATTATCTTTAAAATGCTGGACACAGTTTTCACCTGAGAGCCTGGCCATCCCCTTTTCCATTCAAATTCATTTTCAGCCTGTATTACAACAGTAATTAGAGCAGCACACATTTTGGAGTCATGTCAATGTGAGGTTAAAAGATGTCTTCATCATTGACTTGTTGTATGAATTGAGCACGTTATTCCCTTTTAATCTCAATTTTCTCCTCTGTCAAGGAGTATAATGACTATATTTCACGATTCTGTTTGATGTATAGATTACGTGAGCTTACAAGCATGAAGTACAAAGTTCACAGTAGAAGCTCTGTCAGCGAGAGTTCTCTTCTCTCTTCCTAGGAAGAAGGCATATTATATTTTTGTGGCCCCAAAATATTACTCCTCTAACCCTCAAAGATGTTCCCTGATTCTGAAGTTTAGGATAGGGAGAATATGTCTCTGTTCTCCATCTTAATTCGTTGGGCTTGTTCAAATTTGGGGTAGAGGGGCAAATAAGGATTAGAAACAAGAAACTTAGAATCTCAAAGCCTTACTCTGAGTAGGTGATGGTGTAACTCTCTAGAGCCAAATTCATTGAATTGAATTTGATCCCTGGGCAACCCATTTATCCGAGATCAAGGAGAGTGTGACAAATGACAGACAGAAGGAGCCAGATCAAGGAAAATAGTTCTTTTTCTTTTTTTTTTTTTTCTTTTTTTTTTTTTTTTTTTTTTTTGAGACGGAGTTTCGCTCTTGTTACCCAGGCTGGAGTGCAATGGCGCGATCTCGGCTCACCGCAACCTCCGCCTCCTGGGTTCAGGCAAGTCTCCTGCTTCAGCCTCCTGAGTAGCTCAGATTACAAGCACGTGCCACCATGCCCAACTAATTTTTTGTGTTTTTAGTAGAGACGGGTTTTCACCATGTTGACCAGGATGGTCTCGATCTCTTGACCTCGTGATCCACCCGCCTCGGCCTCCCAAAGTGCTGGGATCACAGGCTGGAGCCACCGCGCCCGGCAGGAAAATAGTTCTCAATAGCACCTGTTGCTAAGACCCATGAGATCTTGTCAAAGGGAAATTTCTGCTGCCTATATCAGTGAGTGTAAAACCCAATTAAGTTACAAAGTCTTGTTTGTGATGCTTTTTCAAAAGTTGTTTTGGCTCTGAGTTGTGCCAAAGGTGACATGTTAGTGGTCTCTGGGGACATGAGACTGAGGTGGAGCTGAGAGAGTACTGACTTTGGAGCTTGCTGGAGGGAGTCAGCTTTGCCAGGGCTCTGGTTGATAACCAGGAATTGAGCTCTCTCTTCTCTTTTGTCATACCAGTTCTAATGTTTTCAGAGGCAACTAGACGTTGGCTGAGAGCCTGGGATTTTGAAGGTCCTTAATTTGGGATACTTTTCAAGGAGGGGCCTCTGAGTTTCCTTTTGTTGGAATAATGTTCACTTGGGAACACAGGAGGCCACAACTTGCGGGGAATCATGTGTCTACCTCTTCTGCTCTCTCTCTCTCTCTCTCATGTACTAACCTTGGTTCAATGTTGTTTCCTATGCACAGATGGGGCAAGACTCAAAAAATGCTTCAATAATATAACAGGCTACTGCAGAAAGAAATGCAAAGTAGGAGAAATCTATGAAATAGGATGTCTAAGTGGGAAATTATGTTGTGTTAATTATGAAGAAAACAAAAAACATGTGCCAGTTAAGAAGCCACATACACATTCTGGTGAGAAGCCGACCATCTATCAGGATTATGCCATTTTACCCACCGTCACCATTTTCACAGTCTAATCCTAAATCAAGCCCTTGTCTCACTGGCCTCCACTCTTCCTAATAAAAAGTGCTGTCTAATCCAGCGGGCCGCAGCAAAAGATTTCTCCTCGTCCTTCCGTGAACTTGATTCCCCACATAATAAAGTCCTGTGCTTTCCTCTGGGTTCATTTATTGATGTAGTCACTCGTTTTTTAAATACTTCAAACATAAATGAATGGTTGCCATGTTCCAGGTTTTATACCAGTAAGATAGGGAATATATAAATAAAGTAAACATATTGGTAGAGGCGGAAGTTACCCTTTCCATTAAAAAAATAATTTCAACATTTATTTTAGGCTCAGGGGAACATGTGAAGATTTGTTACACTGGTGTACTGCGTGTTGTTGAGATTTGGGTTACAACTGATCCCATCACTTACGTACTGAGCATAGTACCCAACAGTTAGTTTTCCAATCCTTTCCCCTCTCCTCCTTCCCTGCTCTTATTAGTTCCCAGTGTCTATTGTTCCCATCTTTATGTCAATGTGTACTCAATGTTTAGCTCCCACTTACAAGTGAGAACATGTGGTATTAGGTTTCCTGTTCCTGTGTTGATTTGCTTAGGATAATGGCCTCCAGCTGCATTCATGTTGCCACAGAAGACATGATTTTATTTTTTTATGGCAGCATGGGATTCTGTTGTGTACATGTAGCACATTTTCTTCATTCAATCCACCGTTGATGGGAACCTAGGTTGATTCCATGTCTTTGCTGTTATGAATAGTGCTGTGATGAACAACTGCATGCATACATCTTTTTGGTAGAATGATTTATTTTCTTTGGGATATATACCCCGTAGTGGGACTGCTGAATTGAATGGGAGTTATGTTTTAAGTTCTTTGAGAAATCTCCAGACTTCTTTCCATAGTGGCTGAACAAATTTACGTTTCCACTGATAGTGTATAAGCATTCTCTTTTCTCTGCAGCCTTGCCAGCATCTGCTGTTTTTTGATTTTTTAGTAATAGCCACTCTAAGTGGTATAAAGGGATTGTGATTTTGATTTGCCTTGCTCCGGTGATTAGTGATGCTGAACACTTTTTCATATATTTGTTGGCCACTTGTATGTCTTCTTTTTAGAGGTGTCTGCTCGTGTCTTATGAGCACTTTTTAATGGGGCTGTTTGCTTTTTGCTTGTTGGATCAAGTTCCTTATAGATGCTTGATATTAGACCTTTGTCAGAGGCACAGTTTGTGAGTATTTTCTCCCATTGTGTATGTTGTCTTTTTATTCTGTTAATAGTTTCTTTTGCTATGCAGAAGCTCTGTGGTTTAACTAGGTCCCATTGCTAATTTTTATTTTTGTTGCAATTGCTTTTGAGGACTTAGTCATAAATTATTTCCCAAGACCTATGTCCAGAATGGTGTTTCCTATCTTGTCTTCTAGGATTCTAATAATTTGAGTACTTACATTTCTATCTTTAATCTATCTTGAGTTAATTTTTGTATCTGGTGAGAGGTAGGGGTCCACTTTGATTCTTCTATATGTGGCTTGCCAACTATCCCGGCACCATTTATCGAATAGGGAATTGTCCCAGATTTGGTCATTTGAAGCTCTTTTAGACTGACTCCCACTTCCCTTTAATATGTACCTATCCTTTGATTTTTAAGCAATTGCTTACCTTGTGGCACCACAAGATATTCTAGGCTTATCTTACATACTCCCTATCCCATCCCTAGAACACTAAATAAGAGAGATATTAAGAGAATGCATGCCACACATTAGTGGTGAATGTTACAGTGGATGAACTAAATCTTTAAAATGCTTGTAATTGTTATAGTGAAATGATATAAGAAACAAAACTGAAAACTGAGTGTGAAATGTAGTTGAAGAAACTTTCCATGTTAATCATATTCAGAAGGTACATCTTTAAGAATTCAGCAGACTATGAACATGGATTATTCTTCTTGTATATCAAGACAACAAAAGCACTGCAATTTGGATGAATTCCCAGGTCCAAAACTTCCCTAAACTCCAAAGGGCCCCAATAACAAAAAGATGAACATGTTAACAGTAACAACAAAGCAAAAACCAAAAAACTTTCGTGTTGGAGTTATTTACTTAGGTCTTCCTTCACATTATAGAGTCAGCTCCACAACAGTGGAATCTTATTTATCTCTATCTTCCTGGTTCAATGCTGGTACACAGGAGCTTAGGAAATAAGACTTCCGCATAGCTCAACTTTGAGTGCTCTGTTGTTCATCCAAACAAAGTGCATGTATAGTTTCCTAAAACGTTCTGTCTTCTCCAATTTTATTCCATTAGTTGATGTCATTCTGTTCACTCAAATTGCCTTCCCTACCAAACCTTATCCACTGAAATCCTACTTATTATTATAAGGCACTGCTTTATTCCTAAACTTATTCATAAATTTCCCCTGAATATTTGCTTCACCTTTTCCTGTCCTAAATTACATGTCAATGTTTCTGAGTTTCTTTTTCCAGACTTCCACACTATAGGATTTTTTAAAAAGTGTACTTATTATATCCCCTTTTCAAGGAGATTTCTGGGTTCTTGTCAATTCTTTTCATGGTATGTAATGAGTATTCTATCCCTGGTTAAAGAACAAAATGAGACAGAAAACTGGCAATGCACTTTATTAAAATATGCTCGAAGGTCATTTTAAGGATCAATAAACCAAAAGGAAGAAGATGTAGATCTCATCACCTTAGTTCATTAGACTATTGTATTTGATTTATGTAGACTATGTCTTCGGGGTTGGGAAATTTTCTATTATTGTAACATAGTCTTGAGGAAGAGTCAGTGCAAGTGTTGCTGGCTTTGGACAAGGTAGCTTTGTAATTTTTTTTTTAATGTGCTTCCAGTTCCTTGATATTGAGGCAAGAATCTCTCCCATTTTCACATAGTACCTCACGTACTTCAGTTACTTGCAGATTTTCCTGCAATGTCCTTGTACATGGTTATCTCAGCACTTCTTAAGTTGTTCGGTTACTATACACAGAAAGGTGCAACAGGACAATATCAGTGTTTGAGACTGAAGGCACATTGGTTTTAGGGAAAACAGAATCCACAAGGCAGACCTTCATATATTTTAAAGAGGATTTTCCGACAAGGTGAATCTCAGTGTTCATATTTAACTGGGTCATTTATATTTAGGTCCTGTAAGGTTTTAGGCCTCCCTTCAACATCTGATTGCCTCTGCCAAGAATATAAGATCTTATTTGGAGCTAGCACACCTATCAGAACAGCTGAAATGAATGCTGGTGAGTGTGTGAAGAAACAAAAACACTTATACATATAAAATGGTGCAGGCACTCTGGAAAACAGTTGATGCTGTTGCTTAAAAATTCGACATGCTGGCCAGGCAAGATGGCTCATACCTGGAATTCCAGCACTTTGGAATCTGAGGCAAGCAGATCACTTGAGGTCAGGGATTCGAGACCAGCCTGGCCAACATGGTAAAACCCATCTCTACTAATAATATAAAAAATTAGCTGGGCATGGTAGTGCATGCCTGCAATCCCAGTTACTTGGGAGGCTGAGGTGGGAGAATCTTTGGAACCTGGGATGTGGAGGTTGCAGTGAGCCCAGATCGTGCCACTGCACTCCAGCCTAGGTGACAGAGTGAGACTCTAAAAAAAATAATTAAACATGCAATTACCATACAACTCAGTAATTGTACTTGTTCACACAAAACTTTGTACATGAATGTTTATGGCTGCTTTGTAATGGTTTAAAACAGGAAGCAACCCAGAAGTCCTTCAACATGTGGTCAAACAAACTGTGGTTGATACATACCAGAGAATACTTCTCAGCAACAAAAAGGAAAAACTGTTCAACAATCTGTTTCAATTTTCAGGGAATTATGCTATGTTGATAAAACTCATCTCAAAATGTTAAGTACCGTATGATTCCTTTTACATAACATCCTTGGTTGCCAGGTGTTAAGAAGGGAGTGGGTATGTGAGAAGGGTGAGTTTGGCTATAAAAGAACAATGGAAAGAGATCGTTGTGGTGACAGAAATGTGTTGTACATTGGCTATGTCCATATCAGCATCATATGCTAGTGATGATGTTTTTCTATAGTTTTGGAGGATGTTACTATTGGGGAAAACTGGGCAAAGAGTATATGGATTTCTTGTATCACATCTTACAACTGCATGCCAATCTCTATCCTTTTAAAATAAAAGTTTTAATTATAATTTTTTTTAAAAAAGATCTTGTTTGAGAAAATAAAGGAACTGAATCCTTGATTTTAGGCTATGGAACAATGCTGTACATGGGAACCTCAGCCAACCTGCCTCCATCCTGAATGCTCCCAGGGCATGACTTACTACTGCACCTTCTCTGATGCCCAGAGAACAATATATTGTTACTAGGTGTTTATGTCTGAGTCAAACTATTCTCCTGAGTTGATACCCACTAACACCACTATTAGAGTCAAGAATGACTTTCTTGTTATCCAGTAAGGTAACAGTCTATTGGGTCTTAGCAATGTGGAGGGCCAGGAATAGGCCATTAATATTCTTATAATAAGGGCCACATGTAAGAAATCTGGTTTTAAAAGAGGAAAGGAAACTAATTTTTGAGTTTTTAGTATGTGCCAAGCTTCACATAGGTTACATCATTTAATAAAACTTTTGTCAATCAGGTGTCATTATCTCCACAGATGAGGAAACGGAGGCTCATAGTCTTCACTACTTACTCAAAGTTGACAAACTAGTAGATATTGAAGTCATGTTTCTTAAACCTGACTCCAAAATTTTCTTCTTTTTCTGTTCACACACTTTAGTGTAATAGAACACACACACACACACACACACACTTGAGTAAAAGGAAATGTAGTTGAGCATCAGAGTAAAAACAATATCTAAAGATATAAAGATATCTCTAGATACTGGAATCATTCCTTTCTATAACAATACATCCTTCCCAGAAGAAATTGTGACCTCTTTTTAGCTCTGTGGGTACTCCTTTTTAAGGATAGTACCATGCAATAAGGCTACAGGAAGAGGAAATTTCTGATGATGTTGGATAAACTTTAGCCATCCTTGGGGGTCTGTTTCCCTCTAGTGTGGATTAGGAAATTCCCTTGGGCTCTCGAAAATATTCCTTCCCATTGTTGATTTGAGTGAGCCACTGGAAAGCTTTGGTTTACCTGTGGGTTTCTGGAACAGCAGAATTGAAATGATCATGAAGAACCCCATAGCCAGGCTTTCTGGAAGAGGTGTAGCCAAAGTTTTTGGTCCAGTGAACTGCACACTATGCCACCTTCCTCAGAGACTTGGATTCTTATGCACTGAAACAGAACAGATGGGATGATATGAAGTCTTCTGAACTGTGAGCTTTGTGTCATGTAGGCAGACACAGGAAATTTGATGTCACCCACTCAAACCCAACATGGAATAAAGACACAATATGTTCCATCCCATCACACCTAATGCCACTCTGTGGGCTGTAGACTCTGGTGGGAAGAATCCATGCTTCCCTACTTTGACTCTCTGTCCAGCTAGACCAACATTGATATGTACTCACCTCCAAGAATGAATACGGCAATATAAACCAAGAAATAAATCCAAAACTCCGACAACAAGAAATTCAAGTAGGTTTCTTGCACATTTGAAAGGAAGGTATGATGTAGTTGGGTGTGATCTGAGATCACCTGATCTTTTTATAAAAGCACCAAGAACATACATTGGGGAAAGGAGACCCTCTTCAATAAATTATGCTGGAAAAACTGGATTTCCCTATGCAGAGGAATGAAACTAGACCCCTGTCTATCACCATATAAAAAATTAACCCAGAATGGATCACAGACTTCAATGTTAGACTTGAAACTATAAAATTCTAGAAGAAAACATGAGAACTATTTTGGGACATTGGTCCAGGCAAAGCTTTTATGACAAAGACTTCAAAAGCACAGGCAACAAAAACAGAGAAATTGGACTATATTAAACTAAAAAGCTTCTGTACAGCAAAGGGAATAATCAACAGAGTGAAGAGATAACCTTCACTCTGTTGCACAACAGGTAAAATATTTGCAAATTATTCCTTTGAAAAGGAACTGATATCTAGAATACACAAGAAACTCAAACAACAGCAGCAAAAAAACTCCAAATACTCAACATCACTAATCATCAGGGAAATGCAAATCAAAACTGTAATGAAATAGTATCTCATCCCAGTTAGAACAGCTAATACCAAAAAGCCAAAAATAATAAATATTGGCAATGATGCAGAGAAAAGGGAATGCCATTGTTGATGAAAATGTAAGTTAATACAGCCATTTTGGAAAATAGTGTGAGGTTTTCTCAGAAAAGTAAAAATAGAACCATTATACCAGCCAGCAATCCTATTACTGGGTATTTTCCAAAAGGATAAATTTTTCTATTCCATATTTTAAGATACGGAATCAACCTAAATGCCCATCAACAGATTAATAAAGAAGACACACTATGTATCTTCTTTATACATATACATATCTTCTTTATACATGTATATATTCATTAGCCTATATATATATATTAGACACACACACACACACACACACACACACACACACACACACACAATGGAATACTATTCACCCATAATGAAATTCTGTCCTTTGCAACAACATGAATAGACTGGAGGACATTATGTTATGTGAAATGTCAGGCACAGAAAGATTACCACATGTTCCTATTATGTATGAGAGCTAAAAAGTTAAGCACATGGAAGTAGAGAGCAGTGTTGCAGATATTAATGTTAGAGGCTGGTAATGATTAGGAAGTGGGGATGATGAAGAGAGCTTGGCTAATGAATGCAAAATTATAACTAGACAGGAGGAATGACTTCTGGTGTTGCAGCACTGTAAGGTGAATATGGTTAACTATAGTTTATTGTGTACTTTAGAAGAGAGGATTTTGGATGTTCCCAAATACAAATGAAAAATGTTTGAGGTGATGGATATGCTAATTACCCTGATTTGAGCATTATACCTTATATATGTGTATCAAAATATCACTTTGTGTCCCATAAATATGTATGATTATGTGTCAACTAAAACTAAAAGTGACTAGAATGACCAATGTTACGTCATATATTTTACCACAATTAGAAAAAAGATACATGAGGGTTTTTTTTCTACCAATTGCACCTTGTCTTTTTTTTTTATTGCATTTTATGTTTTGGGGTACATGTGAAAAACATGCAAGATTGCTTGCATAGGTACACACATGGCAGTGTGATTTGCTGCCTTCCTCCCCTTCACCTATATCTGACATTTCTCCTCATGCTATCTCTCCCCACCTCCCCACCCCCTATCCCTCCCCCATTTCCCCCAACAGGACCCCAGTGTGTAGTGCTCCCCTCCCTATGTCCATGTGTTCTCGTTGTTCAACACCCGCCTATGAGTGAGAATATGCTGGTGCTTGATTTGTCTTTGAAAATATTAAAATGTCGCCACAAAGAAGCAACGTTTACCTAGATTGTTCTTAGATCATTGATTGCAGTTTTCAAAAAATTTCAACCCTGTTAACCATTGATATGCATTAAGTAAATAAGCCAGTTGGCTTGGACGAACCCTGTGACCATTATTCAGGTCACACAGTAGTTTTACACAAGAATATATTTACACTGACAGATACTGGCATAGAATAAATCCTTTATGGAGACAAATGTAAATTTAAAAGCAGTTACTTCGGAGGTCTCAAGGATCACCTCTCTTTACTTTTGCCACCAGATTTTACATGGCTTAAGTCCTAGTCAAGGGATTGGTTTTATTGTTTATAGTCTTCCTATGAATGAGAACTTCCCCTATAGGTGACTTGGTGGTGGAGCATCAAATAAAGACGCTACATCTGAGCAGTCAGGAGAAATACAAAAAGCCTTCTTATTAAAGTTGTATTTCTGAAGCTGCATGTTAATAATAATAAATACAAGCATAGGAATGGGTCCTAATAGCAAGAACAAAGTTCTAATAAAGCAAACAGATAAATTTTATAATATATTAGCAGAAAATAAATAAAATTTATCCAACAGAAACTAAAAAAATGAGGAATAGGTAAGTCACAACTGGAGGGCAGAAAAAAGTTTTAAGCATCAGTAGTTATAATACATTCACATGGCTTAAACTCACTGATTAGATGACAGAGATTTATTATTGAATTTAAAAAGATTTCATTTCAGCAATATTAGACAATAAGACACATGTATACTGCACTGTTGTTAATAGAAATACAGTCGAATAGATATATTGAACAATGCATCTGGTGAAAATAACCAAAAACATGGGTAAATATAAAAAAGAAATTATTACTGCATTGAGAAACTATCAAAAATGAAAATCTGAACAGGCCAAAAACTAAGATTGCAAACCCTGAAACATAAGTTGAGCATTATTTTGAAGGCTATGTGTGATGTATAAAGCTAAGATCTCGTTCTAGGGGAGACATATAATTCACAACCTTATATAAACCTGGGATTTAAAGGCAACAATCTCAGTCTAAGGAAGAATGAAATCTCTCTCTCTCTGACACACGAGTGTACACACACAACCACACACACACACACACACACACACACACAAAAATTAGATAGTCTGTATTGGATTGTATTTTGTCAACATTAACCTTGGCTCTGGATGGAGAAGGAAAATTCTCATGGGTTTTCAATCTAAGTTTAAGCTATTTATGTGAATTTTAAAAATCAAGTAAAAAACATAATTATAAGAAGAATCAGTCGTTACTATAGCTAGGTGTTTTGTGGAAGCAGATGTAAATGTTTTCTTCATACATCCAAGAAATCCAAGAATTCCTAAATATGAAATTCCAATTAAAATGAGAATCTTACAGGTTAAAATTATAAAAACAGAATGAAATATAGTCTCATGAGCCTGAATCATTAGAAGATCCAGACATTAGAAATAGAACAAAACACAACAATGACAGTAACAAATGGCTAATGCTTATATAACACTTTCTGTGTGCCCGCCCTCCTTAGGTATTTTTATTTACATAAACTCACCCTTACAGCAACATTTTGAGGTAGATATTATTATCTCCATTTTACAAATGAGATGCTCAAAGGCACAGAAAACATAAGAAACTTACTCCAAGTCACACTAGTAGAAAGAGTTTACAATAGCAAAGACCTGGAACCAACCCAAATGCCCATCAATGATAGACTGGACAAAGAAAATGTGGCACATACACACCGTGGAATACTACGCAGCCATAAAAAACAATGAGTTCATCTCCTTTGTAAGGACTTGGATGAATCTGGAAACCATCATTCTCATCAAACTCACACGAGAACAGAAAACCAAACACTGCATGTTCTCACTCATAGGCAAGTGTTGAACAACGAGAACACGTGGACTTGGGGAGAGGAGCATCACACAGTGGGGACAGTTGTGGCGGGTGGCTAGGGGAGGGACAGTTGGGGGTGGGAAAGGTGGGGAGAGATAACATGGGGAGAAATGCCAGATATAGTATACAGCTATGCAACAACCCTCCATGACCTGCACATGCACCCCAGAACCTAAAGTGAAAAAAAAAAGTGGGAGCTGGATTTGAATCTAAGTTCTAAAAAGGCAATTTGTAGCTATTAGCAGCATGGCTAGGAAGTCCTAATTGGGGAGCGGGTATTGGGCTGGTGGGATAGAGGGAAAGCAAAAAGAGAAAGCAGATAAATTATAAGTCTGCCTTTCTTTATGGTCTAGGGCACATAGCCCTCCTGTGCAAATAACTCACATTTTTCCTGTGTCCAGCACCACCAAACCCTTAGCTGATAGAAAAATGCAAGTCCGTGCACTGTAACGTTGGCATTATCAGTACTGCACAGAGCTCGTTCCGGCAAAAGCACCACCCCATAAAACCCCCAGCAAGCCTTTGTCTTCTTGCAGTCAGCTCCTCTCTTGCTGATTTGTCCACTGCTTCCTTGCAACGTATTTTCCTACTTTCTCTAATATGTCTGCCTTTCTTTACCTATAACTGTCCTGGTAAATTTGTTTTACTGCCCATGCGACACCAGCCCTAGATAATGGCATCCATGATAATGGCTATTTAAATTAATTAAATGTAAGTAGAATTAAAGATTTAGTTCTTCAGTACTTTTAGTGCTCAAAATATTATAGAGCACATATCAAGTGCTTTATGATCACATGACCAGTGACTATCATATTGGATAGTGCAGATTTAGAATACTTTCATCTTTTTAGATACTT